CAGTTCACAGTCGATATGCGATATTTTATAACTTTCCTATGCTGGAGCATAAAAAATTCTTTTAATTTCGTTCGTAAAATATTGAACGACTCTCTTGAAAAGTTGCCATTTTACAGATGTAACCTTATTACACTAAGGCTCCGCAATTTCCTCCCCGACTTTGAATTGATGCAGCAGACACGAACTGAAAAGACATGATAATAGCTTTCCAGCTTCGCTCGGGCCATATCAAGTTTCTCCTACCTGCTCTATTTGTAACAAGGAGGAGGAGGTATACGACGTCCTCGTGGAGTGTGTCCGGAGCGAGACTGAGAAGTTTCAACTGGGCATCAAATTCAACTTACCAGCACGTACCAGCACTGTGGGTATGTGTAACAGCATATTAGCCAACCCTACATCCAAAGTTGTTTTTTATAACATCAAGTGATGGTACGAACAAGTAGTGCGCCTAATCGTAAGCTACACACCTGTCCATAACAGTTACAGTGCCAATCAGAACTTTAAATTGCAAAGATTTGAGGGGCACAACAACTGCGCCCGTCACCCTGAGACATAAGTTGACAAGTCCCATGTGCCTGTAATTTCACCAGCACCCTTACCCTTCAAAACCGGAACACAGTAACGCTAGCATCACTACCCTGACAGTACTACCCTGGACGAACTGTACCGCATGCCACAAAAATGTATACAAATTTCTAACATTAATAATAATAATCTAGATTCAATGTAGATAATTAGTATTTATGTATTAATTTCTATGTAGCGTGTTTGATTGTTGCTATGTTCCTATGGACCGTTTAATAAATAAAAGAAAATAACGACTCGACTCCATTTATTAGGTAAAGTTGTCACTTCATCGTCGACATAGTAAACTAAATCATAGGTTTTACCCAGTCTTCTGGCTAACCTAATCCTATAACAGTGTATATTAGTGGAACGCTGCACACAAGGCTTTACACGCTACAGAGGCTAAATTCCGACACAGTGTGAAAACCGCCATTAGCCTCGTCTCGAGGATTTAATGGTGCACCGAGTACAGCCTTTTACACTGGCATTTGCAGTGGTCTTGGTTTAGGACAAAAGGCAAGGCCATAAGTGGCCACTTTGATGCTTTTAATACAATAATGCAATAGTCTTATAACTTAGGTAGTGTTCTTGTACCTAGTCTTTTATACAATACGTATACTATTTATGTGTTACTAATTGAAATCGATCTTCCAAGAGCAGAGCTACTAAAAAGGTGAACGTAAAACGCCGTGTAATATTTCAAATCGATTTAAAAATCACTGTCTCAAAGTACTTTTTTGCTAAATCGAGTAACAAAGAGCTGCAACTATATTGTATTTTTAGTGATATCAAGTAACTTGACGAACTAGTCGTGCACCTGGTGTTAAGCGACACGCCAATTCATAACAGTTGCAGTGCCACTCAGAGCTTTATATTGCAAAGATCTAATGGGCACTGCCAATGCGCCTGTCACCCTGAGACATAAATTGACAAATCCCGTGTGCCTATAATTTCATCAGCACCCCTACCATTCAAAACGCTCTAATGCTCAGGTTACTGCTTGGAGGCAGAAAAAGGTAAGATGGCACTTTCTTGGACGAACTCTTTCGCAAGAAGCTCTAGTGCTACTAAAGTTCTTGTGTTGGATAAAAATTATTTTATTTTCTCGAATTGAAAATTGCTAGAGTTGTTTGTTATCATCAGGGATCGGAATAGGTAGACTGACATGTGAAAATCACTTGAGAACATTAAAAATTGACGGTCAGATATCGCAGATCCGACCCTCTGTGGGTCGCAAAGTTAAGATAAATATAGTGTACGTCAATGTTTAATGTTCTCAAGTGATTTTCACAATCCTGAAAAGGTTCTGGGACCTAAAAATATTGTCGTAAGGCAGTCTCCATTTTCTGTCTAGGTTCCTCGAAGTTTAGTTAAAAAAACTCTACCTATTGCGATCCCTGGTTATAATAAATACGAATACTTTTCTCCTAAATTCCAAATTGGAACGGGTGGATTGCCCGATCTTGAGGCACACGCGTTGCAGGGTTGCCATTTTTTACATAAAACAAATTAAATTTCATTATTACTAACATATGACAGTAATTGTTACTAATCAAATATGCACTAAATGCTTGAATTAGACGTTTATTATCATTATTAGTAATTGAAGTACAAGTACGATTTATTTTCAAGTACTTAGGTAGTTCTATTTTAGTAATATTTCATTATGATACCAAATAACGGGATGAACAAGTCGGTAAGCGACGCGCCTATCATGCATAGGACACATGTATATCATAGGTATAGGATATACCACCAAGTAGTAATATTTAGATTTCGTAATACGGCGTAGAGTGCATAAAACACCGTACCTGTTGCCTTACTTAAGAAATTCGTTCTTCAATTTACTACGAGCAATACCTGTATACAGAACAGAAAAAAATGTACGCACCTTCTACATCGACTTACCTCCTTTAAATATCCTCTCTTTGCTATTACAAGATAAATATCAATATCCTAGTATTTACGAGTATTTCTTACTTAAGACTTAAGACGTGAATTAACTTACCTGCGAAGACAAGTAGCGTAATAGCCACAGTTATGTGAAAACTTTTAGCTCTTTCCAGCCAAAAAAAGAACAAGCCGGGCCATAATTTAGATAGCGCCCGGTAGAGTAGTTGATTCATCTTCTTGCAAAGAGGAAGTAAAACTAATGCGCCACATATATTTAACACTGCTGCCGTGCCCCGAGACACACATAGACCTAACTGTAACACATTACAAAAATTGTTTACGATAATTGGTTTTATTACAAAAATTGGTTTTTGTAGGTAATCAAACATTTTTTCGAAGACTCTCAGTCAGCCGTGAACAAGTGACCTCTAAAGGGCCCGAAACGTTGGTTTGTTTCAAAAACGTATACGTGATTAAGACCCGAAAATATTGTTTCATTTCCTATCTGTAACAATCGCGAAAATCAAAGAAATAGATATCTATTGGTTTTTGTATTGAAACATCGACAGTTAACTGTTAGCTACCATTTCGTACCTTTGATGTACGAATGATATTTTATTTTTGAGAAAATTGACAGGAAAATTTAGAACACTTTCAATTGAAAAGGCAGGATTCACGTCCATTAATTTTAAACAATTAAATTAAACAACGCAACTTCTTAGGTAATTTTAAAAGCAAAACCTTGATAGTTCTAAGCTCGTTCTGGGTCGTTTCTTATTAGAATGTTTTATGAATAACTTTTAGTTGAGATATTATCCTCCTGCACTTCCTCCATTGTACCTAAGGCCGGCGTTATCCAGTAAAGGCTTTTAAAACAAATATCACGGTCAAATGAATACTATTCTAGTTACAACTTACCCCCAAAATGTTCCTTAAATAAAAGAACTGTAGTCCTTCTTTGTAATAAATAAAGGAATTGTAGAAAATGTATGTGACTAATGAGATCCATAATATCTGAAACAATAAAATTATGATACTTTAATCGACAACATAATATTATTGCACGTACATAAATCCGTAGATATTAATGTACGTAATTATATAGTATTTTAAGGTCATATTATACACGTATCATTCACACGATCGTATAGCACATTTGGTGTAAAAGGCTACATGCAAAATGGTGACTTTTCAGGAGGCTTCAAGATTCTACGAACGGAATTAGCCGAAAACTTCATTATGATAAATTAGGAGGGTTCTAAAATTAAACACATAATTTGTTTCATGTAGTTTCTATTATTTTTATGAGTTTCATTTGTTAAAAGCTCTTTTAGTAATTAATAGATTCAGGCGTTACTTTGCAGAAGTCCATGTTAATAAAAATAGAAGTAAATTAATTTGCTACTCCGCGAACCCAGTGAAGTAGTTAGTGAAAGCTCTTTTGGCGTATGATAATGTCAGTTATTATGAGCGCGGCAAAATCAGAGAAAAGGCATTTTCCTGAACAAAATTTCAAATTATATGATAATATCATGGTCTTCCTTTTATTTAAGATGCTATGTTATTTAGAAGAAAACAATCCGTATAATTGAAGCTTTCGATCAGTAGGTATAGTAAAATTACAAGTCCTTTTTTGTCGATTCCCAATTCACACAGCCGATTATTTAAAAATCTTTGAATACAGTTCGAATTATTTTTAAAATCAAAATGTAGTCTTCTTTCAGTAAAACTCTCTATCTACGGTATTTAAGGTACTTTCCCTCGGTGTGGTATAGCTATGAGACACCCTGTATAATTAATGATTGATTGAATGATTTAGACACGAGGTACATCTTAAGATGTGAAGAGCTAAAACAAAAATACGTTGCCCTATCATATTTTCCCAGTGCTACTTTCGGCAGTAAGTCAAGAAACACACAAAATGTAGATATTAACGCAAATTACTGTACAGGCGTTAAGGCTCTATTTACATTGCTGCGAAACGAAATTTAAGCCGAATTTTGTTACGAAATTGTACATATTATAGTATAATGTACTTTATGTCAATTATCTAATGTACAAACTAAACTTCAGCCAGATTCGATGTAGAATAAATGTTGACAAACAAAAACATATGATTGTTAAGGTTTTTACCACAATTTCAATATTTTTTTCCCGAATTTCGATTAAACTATTGATAATACTCATCTTGAATTTATGTCTGTGATGAAGTTACTATAACAAAAGCTCCAAATTACTACAAATAGTAAGTAGTTGGATATGGATACGAACATAAAAATACAAAATAAATTCTTACTATTTCGTTACTTTTCATCTGTTGGTAATAGACCAACTATCTAGCAATAAACATTAATAAGTATCAAAAACTTAAAATTACTTTATTCATAAGTTATACGTATCAATAGGTATTTTGCATTTTTTTTAGTAATTGACTATTACTTAACTCAATTACTTGATTACCTATTTAAATTCCAACTACGCGAGCAGGCCGTGGGAAGACCTAATCTATTTTTTTATGATACCAAGCCACGGGAGGTACAACTCGTGCACATGGTGGTAAGCGACATGCTTGTTCATAACTGTTGCCAGTCAGAGCTTTAAATCGCAAAGATTTTAGAGCCACTACCACTGCGCTCGTTACCCGAGACATGTTGACAAGTCCTGTTGCCTGTAATTTCACAAACAGCCTTATTTACCCTTCAAAACCAAAATGCAGCAATGCTCACATTACTGCTAGGCGGCAGACATAGGTGTGGTGGCATACTTCTCTAACGTACTCTTTCACAAGGAGCTCTAGTGCTATTAAATACGAAACGGTAGTTGCGGGAAACGTGTGACATGTTTTTTGGGTTTTATTTTTGTACGTTGCAAAACATTCATTCCGTTCCACGGTATTGTGCATTACGCCTAAAGATACTTCAGAAACAGTAAACTCTTTCGCTATAAATTTTGTATTTCACTTCTTGAGTAAACCTTGAAAGTAATGTGTTTAGATTGGCATATGTATATTTCATACAAAAGTTTTTTTTTTTTTTTTTTTAATATATAATAGACACACGCTTGGCCACAATCTCACCTGATGTTAAGCGACGATGTGACCGACGATGGGACGCGTTTGCCTAAAAAAATGCCTATTCACTCTAGCCTTGAATAGCCCCAAATTGTACTTTTCGGGAAATACAGATGCCGGTAGAGCATTCCATTCCTTTGCCGTACGCATCAGAAAGGAGGAGGCAAAGCGCTTAGTGCGAATAGGTGGAATATCAACGACATAAGAATGGAGTGCTCCGGACCTTCTAGTCGACCGAAGGAGGAACGGTGAGGGCGGAACCAAATTGAAAAGTTCCTGCGCACACTCCCCGAAATGTATCCGATAGAAAACCGACAAGCAGGCTACTTTTCTGCGATGATCGAGATTTTGGAGCTTCGACTCCACAAGAGGATTATTGTTAATAAGTCTCTTTGCTTTACGCTCCACCGAGTCCAAGGCAGCTAACTGGTATTGGGCAGAGCCGTCCCAAAGGTGGCAGCAGTACTCCATACAGGATCGAACTTGTGCTTTATACAGATTTAAAAGCTGTTCAGGTGTGAAGTACCGCCTGACCTTGAAAAGTATGCCTAGTTTTCTGGCAGCAGTTTTTGCCAAGCACTCGATGTATCGCCCAAAGTTGAGGTTGGATGATAAGTCCAGACCAAGTAGCTCAAGGTGGTCCCTTATCGGCACGGATACACCTCGGAAAGTCGGAGTAAGGTGTAGGGGACTCCGTTTTGATGAGAAAAGACACGCCTGTGTTTTAGCCGCATTAAACCTGACCCTGTTAGCATCTCCCCAGTCGGAAGCAGCTTTCAGACTCAGGTTCAACCGGGTGACCATCGCCTCTCGCTTACACCGGATCTCTTCACTGTTGTCTCGGGTGTCTGGCACATAACTCACCGCCACTGTGCTGTCGTCTGCGTACCCAAAGATACCGGGCATCAGCAGCAGGTCGTTGATATGCAGCAAGAATAGAGTGGCGGAGAGGACAGATCCCTGAGGTACACCGGCATTTATACCATGAGGAGCAGACGAGTAACCATCTACAACTACACGGATTGACCTATCCTTCAGAAAATCGCCTATCCATGTGCAAAAGCCAACAGGAATTCCGTAAGCTGGAAGCTTGTTTAACAGGCTATCATGCCAAACCCTATCAAAGGCCTTTGATATGTCGAGAGACACGGCAAGCGATTCACCGCGTTTCTCGACAGCCTCGCTCCATAAATGTGTGGCGTACGCAAGAAGATCCCCAGTAGATCGTCCACGGCGAAAACCATATTGTCGATCACTGAGGAGATCGTTATCTTCGAGGTATCCAAGGAGACGGCTGTTCAATACACGCTCCATAGTCTTACAGAGTATGGAGGTGATTGCGATAGGTCGATAATTAGATGGGTCGGCATGGCTACCTTTCTTAGGTACAGGCTGTACATTTGCAAGCTTCCAGGATTTCGGGACTTGTCCAGAACTCATAGAGAGGCGATACAGGCGAGTCAACACCGGAGACAACTCGGGTGCACAGTTCCGCAGGACAATCGCTGGGACTCCGTCAGGGCCACTGGCTTTGTTGACGTCTAATTTGCGTAAAGCTTTCAACACCTCTTTTTGACGGATAGTGATTTCGGGCATTTCCGAGTCACATCGAGGTAGTGTAGGTGGTGTTTGCAAAGTAGCGTCAAGACGGGAGTTGGAAGCAAAAAGAGAAACAAAAAGATTTGCTTTCTCTTCAGCGGTATGAGCCAGCGATCCGTCATCTCTCATTAAAGGCGGAAGGGTTGACCTGCAGAAATTCGCTTCGACCGATTTAGCGAGTGACCAGAATGCTTTACTCCCTGATGGGTATGAAGCTAACCTGACCCCAATACGACTGATATGGCCGAAGCGAGCTTTCCGTATCGCTTTTTTGCAGGATCTAGCGGCTTTATTAAAGGCTTTCTTCAGACGGAGGGTTTCCGGTGCTTTGCGATCTCGAGCATCAGCCCAAGCCTGGTACGCAGATTGCTTTAGCGTTTCCGCAGAAGCACACTCAGCGTTAAACCAAGGGCGAGCTTTGCCGCTGGAGGAGACTTGGAAATACGGAATAAAGTATTCCATAGCCCGAATAATCACCTCAGAGACGGCAGACGCGCAGCACGTCGGATCGTCAGAAGAGAAGCACAGCTGCCGCCAGGGATAAGATGCAAAGAAATGCCGCATCGCATCCCAATCTGCTGACTTGTATCGCCACATCCTCCTAGTACTTCCCGTACTGAGATCGGGCGGGGAGTAGACAGATACAGATTTCACCAGACAGTGATCGGATGTCCCTAGTGGGGATGAGACCGATACTTGGTAGCGGTCTGGATCGGTTGTCAGCAGAAGATCCAGGCAATTGGCAGTGTGGTCGTCAACGTCCGGTACCCTGGTAGCGCAACTCACCAGCTGGGTGAGGTCTAGCGATAGAGCACATGCCCGCGCCTCTCTTCCAGCGTGGTCGGTTTTTTGGTATGGGAACAACCATTCCTGGTGATGGGCATTAAAGTCCCCCAAAAAGACAAGTTGTGCTTTAGGATACCGTTGTTGGACTGTTTCCGCCGAGCTGCAGAGATGGTTGAACAGCCTAGTCGTCTCCGGGTCTCCAGAATGCGACCGATACACACTGGCGTAGACAATTTGTTCCAGTCCAGTGTCTACCAGAACCCACATTACAGAGAGATCGGGGTCTTCAAGGTCACGGAGACGTTTAGAGCAGATGTCATCACGAGCGTAAACGCAGGTACCAGCGCGCTGCTTAAATTTGTGCTCCAGAATGTAACCTGGGTAATGCAGATACGCCGTGTCCGAAGGACATCTAATTTGGGTCTCCGTGAGGAAGAGCATGTGAGGCCTTTCAGTCTCAAGATGGTGGTGGACAGATGAGAGATTGGAGTGCAGACCTCGGATGTTCGAGAGGTGCACTTTAAGTGAAAGGACGTGCATCCGCTGTTTAGCCTTCCTCAATTTTCTTGACC